GGAGTTGCCCTGCTCGCGCGTCCCAGTCCAACCGCACCCGCTACACTTCACAGGCACCATCAGAGCAAGGTTCACAAGGACGCGGTTTCGGCTTTTTATTTTTGGTCACAGACTCGCGACACATGGGGCACGTGCGCACGTCCTTAACGCACTCCATGCAAAAAATGTGCCCACACGAAACCAGCTCCACCGGGTCCTTCCAAGAATCCAGGCAAAGGGCGCAGCGCAACTCCTCACTGCACCTCGTGGCCATGATAATGGGAGGCATGAGTAACTACGGGCACGGACAAAGTCTTCCTCGAAAGAGAGGGATGATCCTCCTAACTAATCACCACCTTACAAGGGAGAGAGGAATAAGGCAGCGGCAGACACGCATGCTGAGTAGCCCAGCAACACTTCGCACACCTCCATACTCGGTCTCCGCCCTTCCCTCTCTCTCAGTTCATTTTTTTTTTGACTTGTTTGTTTGTTTGTGTTTGTGTGTTTAACCTCGTCCCTCGCCTCGTCTCTCCACCTGTCCTGCGCGTAACCCCCGTGCGCCACAGCACCAACTGTTCAACCTACATCATGTTTCCCATCAACAGAAATATCGGCGCCGTCCCTACACCTCTTAACCGTCGATTCAGAAATGGCGCGAAGAAACAACTCTCGCACTATACGCGCGTACCTCATCTGTGCCGTAATGCTCCGACACAGCTTGCACCATTCCCCCCATGCGCTGCGCAATGTGAGAGGCCGATCAACTTCTGGATCAAGATAAACGTGCAGTGTCGGGCGGTGGGGTGCGCACTCCCGACGGTACTCCTCATAGTAGGGGTCGTGGCGGGGGACATAGCACGGCAGCTGCCGCCCAAGCGCCGTGGCCGTATCTATTGCCCAGCAGCGTGCCGTGTTGAAGACATGGTACCCGCCTCCCCCTAGTAGAACCGTAGGCAGCCGAAGCTGTAGCACTTCCGCGAGACACCGAGCGTGAGCGGCGGTTGTGATGTTGAGTCGACCGATGAGGTCACCAACGATGGCGTCTGCTCCACACTGAAGGACAACTGCCTCTGGGTCAAAGCAGCGCACAACGGCAGTTAAGACGGTGCGAAAAAACAGACAGTACGTGGCGTCGCCCGTGCGTGCGGTAAGGGGAACGTTGACCGCAAAGCCCCTCGCCGTCTCAGGGCCACCGTAGTTACCGGTGCCGGGGAAAAAGCCGTTGCCAAATTGGTGCAGCGAAACCGTCATGACCCGTGTGTTGCCGTAAAAGGCCGCCTCCACACCGTCCCCGTGGTGGACGTCGAGGTCCAGGTAAAGCACCCGCTGAAAGCGACGCAGCAGTCGCTGAATGCACAGGACAATGTCGTTCACAAAACAAAACCCACTCGCGTGGGACGCCGCAGCATGGTGCATGCCGCCAGCCCAGTTGATGGCAACGTCCGCCTCACCGCGGCAGAGCGCCTCTCCACAAGCAATGGAGGCACCGGCCTGGCTCGCCACCATCTTCCAAACCTCGGGAAAAAGCGGACAGTCCCCGTCACAAGAATACACCGGCACCTCAAACGCCTTTTGATACGACAGTGACGCACCATCCAGTGGGTTGCCGCAAATAACGGGTGCCTTCTGTAGACACTCCACGTAGGCCGAGCAATGAAACCCTCGCAGTTCCTGTGGGGTCGCCGGGCGGGGCTGACATATCTTCATGTACGTGTCTAGCCCCAGTGATCGAACAAGGGAATGCAGCACGCGAACGCGAGAGGGACGCATCACGTGTCCCTCTGCGTATGCGATGGCCGTTGTGGACTCGTCAACAAAGTAAAATACGCGCAAAGACGTAGCTGAACGGGTTGTTGTTGGTGTTGCCCTTCTTGTCGTTGCGCACTCACCTCCACCCACGACAGCAGCGGCACCCCCATCGTCAGCGGTCAGCATCAGCAGCTATCACCGCATGCACCAGCTACACCCTATGTGGCCGTTGCCTGCCGCCCCCCAACCACCACAGCAACGCAGACTGCCGCGTGGCGTGCCACATACAACACAAAAGACAGGCAACATCAGAAGAAAACGGGAGTACGCTGTGCGGGGACTGCCGCAGGCTCAGCCACAATGTGCAGAACACAAAAACGCGGGTGATACGAAAGCAAAAAACAGTTCACGCAAGCCGCCCAGCATAAGAGCAGTCGGCGTAGCCCGAAACCAAGCAAACAAATCGTATACACGAATAAGGCAAAAAAAAAAACAACAACAACAACCTTGAAGCCCGTGTGCCTCTTCAGAATGAGCGGCCTCGTTGCGCTTCCTCTCCGCCTTCTCCCTCCCAACGGCGCAGAAGCCCACAATAAATTGGTCCCCGCATGGCGGGCATGATAACAGTGCAAAATATTTAAAAAATCAACCTCTTCGCCGCGGCGAAATGAAGGGTCCATTCAAAATCCACCGCGGAGCACTCACGGAGTGAGCATCGGTAAAGTACACGGCTGCAATTGCGTTTAAGGCGCACGTTAAACATTCATACGACCAGGTATATGTAAACACAGACGCCTAAAACACGCACACGCGGCAAACGGTCCAAAGATGTGGACCCACTGAGCCCTCCCGCCATCACATCCTGTCACGGATGCCCCTCCCTCCCCCCTCCACCCCACCTTTCACCACACACAAAAAACAAAAAGCAAAACAAAAAAAAACGTGCCATTCACACGCTGCTCTCCCACTCAAGGTTCTCCAGCTACGCTTTCTCATTCCTGCATTGCATGCGAGCACGGTGAGTTAAAAACTCGTGAAGGCCAATTACACCGTTTCCATCCGTGTCAATACTTCGGAACAGGCACCTCCCGGCGTCCATGTTAGCCACTTCCCCCAAACTCAGAGTAAGCCGTGCAAACTCGTCCATGCTCAGCAACCCATTCTTGCCCTTGTCGTACATGCGAAACTGCATCATGATGGTGTTGTAATCGGACTGTGAGAGCCCGTAAAGGGCGTTGGGATCGGGCCGGTTCTGAGACAACCACGTGAGGAACTCACTGAGGGAAAGAGTACCGCTACGATCCGTGTCCATTTCTCTGAACATGCGATCAATATCGCGGTCGCTTCGGGCAAAGTTGAGCCATCTCGCTAAGCGGCCAATCTCACGACGGTCCAGCCAACCGTTGTCGTCAGTGTCGAAAAAGATAAACAACGCCATGATCTGGTCGTACTCCTCACGCGACAGGCCAAACTGGTGCCACGGCTCCTGCCCAGTC